GAATTTTATTTCATTAACTTTATTATTTGTTATTTATTTAGTTAGTTTCTTACTTACATACTTATTGGTTGACTAGAGGATGGTAACATTTGACAAGCATTATAAGAATTACAAAGATATGGTATTTCATTTTTAAAACATTTTTGAAACAAATGATGACTGCAGAAGTCATTAAATCATTAAGCCTGACATGTTTACTCTTCCAAAATATTTGAAATGTTTCTTAAAATAAAATATATTGTGTTCAAAAGAGAAAAAAAAGTTTTTGTTTTTTACCCAGACATTTAAAAAGAATATATTTTAGAGCAGTAATCATAATACATTGAAACCATGACATTTTTATCCAAGGTTATCATACTGTCAGAATCCTATATAGGTCCATGCCTATTCTCCCTCAAGTCCTCCAGATGATTTTATTTTTTCTTCAATAGCACACAGAATAAGATTTTTTTTTTTTTGCGGAAACTGTGATACTTGGTGATTCATTTCATGTAAGTCAATGGTTATCATCAATATTACAGTACAAAAAATGTATATCATAGAATACAAAACGTATTAATGTGGCTCTAGATGAAACATTGGTCACTCAGAGCAAAATTATCAGTTAAAATGATCTGAAATTGAACATTATTTACAATATTACTATTATTTTTAAAAATAATATTATGCCTACAAATGCTCTGGTTTCCAAAGACATGTGGCATAGGTGTATTGGGTGAACTAAAAAATTGTCCGTAGTGTATGTGTGTGAATGCGTTTGTATGGATGTTTCCCAGTGATGGGTTGCAGCTGGAAGGGCATCCGCTGCGTAAAACATATGCTGGATAAGTTGGCACTGATAAAAGACAAAGTCCGCGCTTCTCCAATTCCACCCGGAGGAAACCCAGGCGAACGCAGGGAGAACATGCAAACTCCACACAGAAACGCCAACTGACCCGAGGTTCGAATCAGCGACCCAGCGACCTTCTTGCTGTGAGGCGACAGCACTACCTACTTCGCCCCATATTAATAACAATTTAATAATAATAATCTAAATATTTCTCATTAACTTCCGGGTGCAGCTGTATGTGATCTATAGATGATTAACGCTGTGGATGGATGATAACAGCCTTCTGTGCCTACTGGTAGCCTCTACTAGCCCATATCTATTAGCTGATAACCACTGATATAACGCACATTCAATAGAGTGATAACATTCAAATATGCTGTCTGAGGAGGTTTACCTGAAGTGTGGATTCATTGCAGAGCTCTCGTCCAGCAAAGATGACCCGCAGCTGATCGGACTGAACGCCCTGTAAACGACCCACCGCCTCCTTCAGCTCAGACACACTCGCACCCTGCTCCAACTCCACCGGGAACCCATGGCTGGAATTAAACCGCACGAAAACTATAAAGAAAGACAGAAGAGAGAATGATAGAGATTAGGGGAATTCTGATGCTGACACAGGGTTTATAAGCCAGAGAGAGAGTAAATTAAATGTAAACTTTCATTTTTGTGTGAACTATCGCTTTAATGATTTGCCTTTGATATTGACTGCCTAATTTTTGTGCAACTTGTGTGTGTGTGCGTGTGTGTGTGTGTGTGTGTGTGTGTGTGCAGGTCCACAACATAGCACAGCAATGACTCCAAAATTGCTATTATGAGTTCATTCATTAATTTTCCTGATGAATGATACGCCAACTAATGTGGCACATATTTTAAACAGCATCACCTTAGTCACGTGACCTGGTGTTTCGAAACACTTTAGTCACATGACCAAGGTGTTTTGAATCACTTTAGTCACGTGATCTGGTGTTTTGAAACACTTTAGTCACATGACCTAGCCGTTTTGAATCACCTTAGTCACGTGATTTGGTGTTTCGAAACACTTTAGTCATGTGACCTAATGTTTCAAAACACTTTAGTCACATGACCAAGGTGTTTTGAATCACTTTAGTCACGTGATCTGGTGTTTTGAAACACTTTAGTCACATGACCTAGCCGTTTTGAATCACCTTAGTCACGTGATTTGGTGTTTCGAAACACTTTAGTCATGTGACCTAATGTTTCAAAACACTTTAGTCACATGACCAAGGTGTTTTGAATCCCTTTAGTCACATGACCTGGGTGTTTCGAATACTCTTAGTCACGTGACCTGACTGTTTCGGATCATGCTTCAGTGCAGTAATTCGAAACAATTGCGCTTCGGGATCTCGACACTGTGTTGAAATGTCAGATTCACGTCAGTCATCCCTATTGGTATGCTCAAGCATTAAGAGTAGCTTTACTGGAACTAAAGGGCCAAGCCCTCAAAAACAACCCCACACCATAACCTCCCTCCGCTAACATTACACTTTGCATAATGCAGTTAGGCAAGTACCATTTGTCCTGGCTACCTCCAAACCCAGACTTATCCACCGGATCAATGGAAAGATGTAAAATATGCAGACAAAGCAATTAAAAACTCAAACACACACTAGACAGGATATAAAGAAGTATAGGTGAGAATATCCTACACAGAAAAAAATAAAGACAAAAGTTAAACAGTTTGGGACAAGGACAAAACAGGTGAGAGGCAGAGATGCAAAAAAAAGGCCATGTTAACATTCAGCCCTTGCCATCCGTCCCCTTACAGCACAACCCCCTTCATTAAGATGACTGCGATTTGCTGCAGAAGGACTTTTTCTTATTATCATGTGTGCTTATTATTTTAATTGAAATGAGTCAACCTTTTTCAGAGCCCCCAGAGGCTTAGAGATAAACTGGGAAATGGAAAAATGGCTGATATTAAAGGAAAGAATGCGCAGTAAAATTGCACATTACGGACAAAAAAAATGGAAAGGGCGAGAGGACGGCGTGAAGGTGTTTGTTCTCCACTCTTGTGTAATTAGCTCTGATTAAATATTTGTCCAGACTGAATTTGAGCATAATGAAATGTGTAGATGCACAACGAATATCCTCACAAAACAATTTAAAGTTAGTTTGCTTTTTTACTCTCATTTATGACCAAACACTGTAAATGATGCTGGGTTCCACACAACTCCTTCATGTTGTCCTAACACAAATCGATGAGGTTAACTTAATTGTTTTTACAAATGTAACTTTATTGAACATAAAACAATTACGTTTTCCTCAATAAAGTAATAAATTAATAATGGGGATATAAATTAATCTCCAAAATAATCTGAGGAGTTGTGTTGATTTAGCTCATTATAAATAAGTATTCTGAACAAACACTGTAAAAACACTGTAAAAAATATTGGGTTTCACAGAATAAATTAAGTTATTAACTTGTTAGTTTTCACAAATTTAAGTGGACTTAACATAAAACTTTTGTTCCAACAAAAAAAAACTTGGTACTTTATTAGTACTGGTGCTAAAAATACTGAAGTATCAATAAGCTCTGACATTAACGGTTCTAATGGACAATCATTGCTAAATAATCGTTACTTATAGTAACATAACTTAACTGACCAACATTTACTAATTTGCAATATTTGATGTTCGTCTGCACTGTTGGCAATATCACGTGAGAAATGCTGGTCTTGTTAAGGCTTTAACGGAATTACTACTTTTATAGAAACCACTTATTGGTTCGGTACTTTAACGTTCGGTACTTTTATAAAAGAAGTCGGGACCTTTACGCCCCATTCACACGGGGCTTCAGCGTCAACGCTTCCCATTTACTTTGAATGGGTGACGTCAGGCATTGCCGAACTGCGTTGTGGATCCATTAGCGCCGCTTCAGAGGCGTCGCTTGCTGCAGAAGTTGGGACTAGCTCAACTTTTCAATCGCCGACGGAAGCGTCAGCCAATCAGATCACTGTATGCAAATACACCTGCTAGACAGTGGCCTATTGCTGACTGAATTTCATTGGCTGACGCTTCTATGACGATCGCTTCAGCTCCAACTTCAGACACGACTTCAGTCAAGCATTGACGCTGAATCCCCGTGTGAATGGGGCGTTATTGGCTTGAATTCCGTTAAAACCTTAACCATACCCATCTCTAGTTTTAACTCATTTTAAATAAGTAGCTCAAAGAAACAACAAACGACATGTTTTTTGAGTAAAGTGTGTGCAAAAAGAACCGTGGTTGGCCCTAAAACAGGACTGATGTATTATGCTTCTATATAAACAAAGCCTTTCTGCTTCTCCCAGAAACACACAAACATTCTAAAAAAAAGAAAGAAAGAAAGTGAGAAAGTGAGAGAGAAAGAGAGGGATTTGGTCATGCAGACTCGATATCACTCAGCCATAGCTCTTCCAGGAAATTGCATTCAGTGATATTGTTGACTTAAGCACAGAAAGACCAACACTTGCACTGATTGCTACTAAACGACACAAGCCGAGGGTCTCGCAACGCTCTTTAAGAAGGCTTTGAGTGATTGCTTGTTGTTAAAGCGTGACATTCTCTAATAAAGGCATTCGGTCGGCCGCATTTTGAGACAAATGACACTTCAGCCAATTGCAGGCCAAAAATACAACAAATCATATCGCACAGAGCAGACAGAGACAGAAACCTGCATTTAAATGGTGTGGAAGGGTTTTGGACTCGGCATGTTTAATGTCATAATTCAACTAAAAATGGACAATTCTGGCCTCGTTTTCTTACACTCATTTTTTTCCCCAAACCTACAGTACGCTGTAAAAAAACTCCTTCAACAAAGCGATTGACTTAACTTAATTGCTTGAATAAATTTAAGTGGATTGAAGATGAAACAATTAAGTTGTCCAAAAAAACCCCCCCAAAGAATTGTGATGTTTTAGGCCATTTTAAATAAGTTGTTTGAACATCTTTTTGAGTGTACACTAGGGATGTAATGTATCAGAATTTCACGGTACGGTAATACCTCGGTATGAATGGTACGGTACGGTATTTATTGAATAATTTACAGATAAAACAAAACTAATGAAAAGACTCGAAAAAAGTGGCAAAAGTGTTTATTTACCTTGGCACTGAACATATCAATGACATACAAATCAGCCATCTATCTGTAAGTTTCCAAACAGGAACTTCAATTTTTCAATTTTAATAACAAAAAACTATTAAACCATATAAAAAAATAAAGTTTCAATTTAGTAATGTTAAAAACTCATCACATATAGCATTTAATCACTCACTCACTCAGATAGAGATGGGTTTTTAAGGAAAATGATCATATAACTATAATCTGGTAAAAGCTGGGATCTCTGGGCATTTACAATGTTCCCTGCAACAGAAATAAACCCTCTCATTTGGGACTGAGGTTTCTGGGACAGAGAGATATGATTTAGCCTAGGTTGACAGCAGTGGGTAACGTTGTGCATTGTCTTTCCACCACTTGAGAGGACAAGCCATGAGTGAGATAGAGGTCTCTTTACGGTACAAGTCAATGTCTGCATCAATCTAACAAGTGTGCTGTGTTCTGCCCGACTTATATTTCACCACAGTCTGGCAGTGCCTGCATACTGTTTTTTTCTTTGTCTGTCACCTTTTCTCCTTTTTCGTATCTTTTTAGAGAGAAACCAAAATGCTTCCACACATCTGATTTAAAACCCGCATTAGGTTCGATCATTTCCTCTTTTTCTTCCCCGTTACTAGCAGCACACTCCATTTCTGCATTTCTGGATCTGTAGTGACAACAGACCGCAAAGGATGATGGCCACGTCTAGGCTGATGGGATAGTTCCTGCTATCTCCCGTCCGCTTCATTCGCCTAAGCAAACTTTTCTCAGAAATATAGTTTTATTAAGTCATCCGCCTACGGTAATATTGAAAAAAATTTCTATTGCGGTATGACGGTATTTACAATATTGTTACATCCCAAGTGTACACTGTAAAAAATGCTTGGTTTCACATAACCCCTTCACGCCGTCCCAATGCAAATTGACTAATTTAATGGTTGTTACAATTTTAAGTGGACTGAACATAAAACAATTAAGCTATCCCCCCAAAAATCTCAAGAATTGTGTCGTTTCAGCTCATTGTAAACAGGTAGTTAGAACAAAGAGCAGAGTTTTGACAATTTTTGAGTGTCCTGAGGATTTTGTTCATCATACAATGACATAATAATATGTTGATTAACTCTATGGTACATCATTAAAAAAATGAGAAAGCTTTGTATGACAAAAATACACCAGAAAGTATAACGTAGTGATCATATTATTGATATACCAATAAATCTCGGGCGACGTAGTGGCGCAGTAGGTAGTGCTGTCGCCTTACAGCAAGAAAGTCACTGGTTCCAGCCTCAGCTGGGTCAGTTGGTGTTTCTGTGTGGAGTTTGCATGTTCTCCCTGCTAAATTTTCCGGCGTAGTGTTCTCCACAAGAAGAAAAGGATCATCCAGACTGTTTCCAGCAACATGTCCAAAAGCCAGGGTCTGTCATGGTATGGGGTTGTGTAAGTGGTGCTTGCACTTCTGTGAT